TTTGAATCTTTTAATTAACGATTTCAATCACGAGTTCTAACTGAAAGATTGTGCATTGATGAAATCTTTGCAATTAAAAGGTGAAATTGACTTTAGACGCACTCATTGCTTGAATAAGCCCTCTTTGGGATTCGATGGTCACATAGGCGACCACCCTTCGTATATCCTCTAAAAGGTTTGGTTTCAGGTCGTGCCGATGACTCCCTATCTCCAGTCACCCTCCAGGCCAACTACTCATTTTCTCACCTTAGATCATTTCTTTTGCATGCAACTTCGGAAGGTGTGGGTAGCTGCAAGTAATTTAAATAGAGCCTAGTGAAGTTGTAAAAACACTGTTGCCTATATTCATCTTCATCTCAATCCTAATTCCGTGTTTTGTGCAAACAATCACCGCAGTAATCCAGTGCAGTTAGTCCAGTCTCGTGTTCTTTGGGAATGCTGATGACAACACTCTTTATGAACCATCTGAAAAGGTTCCTTTTATTCCATCCAAGGTACACATATGAGGATGACAGGCAAGTAAATGCAGAGTAGTCTCTTAATCTTTCTAGGAGTTTGAAAGGTATCCGATGGACCTTTAGTGGCTAGTCCGCGTTTGGAAAAGGAAAACAAATCTCATTCCACCAGAACTGATAGATACCCCAATCTATACCAAACAACTACTTTCGAGCCACGGTTCTTGCTGCTAGCATTGAAGATAAGCGATGGTCTGTCCTCGTGTCAGATGTCTTCATAGACAATGTTGAATGCAGACGATTCGCATGTGTTCTCCTCACAGAACCAACAAGTTGTATTAGTTGACGAGGGAAAGTGATCAGTAAAGACACCGAAGATGATCTTCAATTGGAGGGTCGAAATTTTTAAATACTTAAATTCGTGTTAAGCACAGTTCCGGTTTCGAAGACAGGTCTTTGCAATTGCACACTTATTGAGTGATATGAACTTCGGGTCAAGTCACGAACACATTTCATCCAATCTTGTGATTTATTGTCTTTGGAAAAAACCTGGAGCACTACAACACAAAGAGGTTTGTTTTATATGTCTCCACGTTTTTTATGCTTGTTGAGAGATGAATTACGAACAAAGAAATTAATTTTATGCAGAATCTTAGCGATTTGTCACGAGGACATTTGTAGACTGTTGTTGTAGCCCAGTGTTAATAAGGCTTGTTTTATTAAATCCACTCTTGGCGAGGCAATTTCAGTTTCGAGTAGCATAACCAGAAAATACTGTTTAGGTGAAGGCATCCTTTTTTTTGAACAAAAAAAATTGATCAATTTAGCTTGCATGTTTTGGAGAAGATTTCGTTTTCTACGCCTAACAACAACAATGCATTTCCTTAATTTACTTTGCATGGTGCTATTGTGGACAGGATTTCATAATCACTTGTTTGGTAGGGAATTCCGTACAGCTAAAGTGCCACTTTAGCTCAAGGCTTGAAGGCTGAGCCGCATAGCCGAATCAAACCCATTGTTCATACCTACCCATATCTTACGTGAGGCCTGCTGAACTCTCACGAATGAGACGCGCAAAACCCAACACTTTGGAACGCCATACAAGCTCCATGCGTACTTGGCACAGAACAAAATCTTTATTATAATAATACTTTAATTTTTGCTGCCTTCAAATCAAGTACCCCAACCCACTCTCAAGATGTAGTGCTCCGCCTCAACGTTCACCATGAGACTGCTTTTTGGTACTGATATTAGAAATGAAAAAATTTTTCCCGTAGATACGGTAGATCAGCACAAAATGCCTTCATAAGAGCGGTAACAAATTTTAC